ATATATATATATATATATAAGTATCAGGAGCCCATAACTCAGTTTTGCCCCAGGGCCGCCAGACTGGTTATTCCTGGTCTTTCTTTTGAATCTTAAAAAGCTTTTCTCACTTTCATAATTAAGTTGTATACTATTGTAGGACTGTAAATCCTCTTACATCAGTGTAAATGTGCATGAGGCTGAAAACTGAACTAAAACCTGCTCTAGTGTATAATAATAATAATTTTGTATTACAAAGACAAACACAGTAGCCATTAAAGTAAATATTTAGTGAAAGTTGAGTAAACATTTCTTTTACCATATAAGAACATACTACATTACTAAATGAGGCGGTAGCTATATGCAGTCATAATAGATTGAATAAGAAGGGTTACTAACCTATGTGAACTGCCATGTCAGCAGTCTCTAGTGTAATTCATGAGCTGTGGTTCAGCAATCACATTACCTGAATGTATTACAGCGTGAATTCATTTACAATGTTGATTATGAGAATTAAAATGAAGTTTATTTTCTTATTCTAGAACTAGATTAATATTTAGTTTGTATATGCCGGTTTATCCCCTCACATTCTCTAATGTCTAAAGGCAGAGTAAAGTATCTGCATTAGCCTTTACTGTCTATCCCACTGACATTTTTGTGGGGTAATAGCAGACTAAAAGGTCATAAAATTAAGGCATCGCAACATTTCTCTCATTATACAGTTTTCCAGCCCAGAACTTTAAACACTTTTGTCTCATTTTCGCTGCTGTCTCACTGTGAAGTCCAGAACAATAGATCAAAGTGAGGAACATCTATAACCTGGTCTGTTCCTCACACTTTGACCTGCTACCATTATTAGTTTATGACACACAAACACAAAGAGGCTTACACCTCCCTGCCTGTCCTAAGTGGGTGTGACCAGCCCACTTCACTTTATGTAATCCACTTCAGCAGCTCTGTGTGCAGGAACACAGTGTTTCCCCCACCCTTCTGCTTTAATGTCCGTTTAAACTTTATGAATGAAAACATAAAGCTAATGAAACATAATGCTTACCGCTAGTTCAAAGTAAGTATTTAACAGGGGGACACGTGTACGAAAGCCTTGATGGCTGGGCAAAGTGTAGAAGATAAATTCCTGCACACTAAAGTCTAACTTGCAGTACAAACATGTATTTGCAACGTTTCGGTATTACCTTCATAAAGGTCTATATTGATTTCAAAAGAGATTTATCTCTTCTTCTTTTGGATACTCAGCCCACTCCCACGCACCAGCCTCATGAAATAGATGTGCAGAATATTTGTGTCTATTTCAGGCACCAAAGTCAGAATGCTGTCTACATCAGTGACAGTTATTATTATAAATATAAAATAGATTTATAATAGATATATATAAGTGTATAATTCATAAGATCTGGTTCTTTTGGGTTTACATCCTTTCAGCCAGTGGGGGCTGATATATGGACGAGCTGACCAGATGATGTAAGATAGTAAGAATACAGTTTTTAGAAAGAGATGTAAAAAGGAATGAGTGGAGGTTTATTTGAATGAATGTATTCATACTTAGTTCATGCACCGTTTATATAATAAGTAAGAGTTAAATCTGTCACTCTAACAGCAGCAATCTTTGTTGATATAAGGATTTGGGGGTGGTCGGCACCACCCTGGAAATGAGTTATATTTACTTTAAGTATTTTTATAATGTGCCAATTTTATTAATTTCATTTTGTGAGTTTTTATTGTTTTTGTCTTTGCATAGCCTCGTTTATGTTGGATTGAACCTCTTATGTTATGTTTTATGAATATCTGGATGCGTGTGTTGGTTCATAGAATAAATATAATAAAAATATAATACTATCATTGTTACATATTGACTTATCTATAATGCAACCCAAAAAAGTGTTTCAAAGTTTATTCCTGCATTTGAATAGTCAATGTTTTATGTCTCGGATATGTTTTTTCTCTGTTCTCGCTGCTCCTCTCACATATTGTCATATATTTTAACTGTTCTTTATCCACCACTCTGATGACTCAGTGACACACTGGCACTGATAACGCTTCATGAAAAAACTCACCCACACTCACATTTATCCACAAAGAAAATCAATCAGCCAACTTTACACCAATCAGATATTTATTTGTGTTGTTTTTTATTCTGTACAGTAAAGGTTTTTTTTGTTAATGACAGTCTGCATCAGCCAATCATCTGCAGCCTAATTTTGGCAGCTCGATGACGATTGGCTGTTTGGGCTCACTCCCACCACCCTGCCCATTTCCCTTTGTGTGCAACAACAACAACAGAAAGGCAGCACTTTACAGCACCCGGACACACTGTACATGACCAGACATTAACTGTAAAAAAAACATCCGTCTTAATAATGTCATTTAATCTTGCATTCAGTGAAAGTTTTTTTTTCTTAAAAATACCAACAGGGTGAAATAATTTCACTTATTCTCAGTACAGTTCTTATTGTTCGCTAAACATTAATGTTAGTATCTTGAAAAAAGACAAAGTAAGGCAGATCAATGCAGATTGAGTATTAAGAAAATGACACTTGATTTTAAAAATTATTTTTAAAAAGTTGATAACTGCTGGAAACCGGTGACATCATCTCACCCTGCGAGCATATTCTTGACACTTTAAGGCTAAATGACTTGACAAGATGGAGTTTTTTTAAATTTAGCTGTGAACATGAAGCAGAACAAACCTGGCTCAGTTCAGTCTGAAGGTTTGAGTTTCACACTGCTGAGGACAAAATGGCTCCCTGAAAGTTTCCCTTCAGGACGTCAGGATGTCACAGAACTCAACAAAGTCCCTCTGCATGAAATTCTGACTCTGAATCAGGTCGTCTTCAGAGGGGAAATACTGCATGCTGTCCTCCTGCAGACGCAGACTGTCCCCCTGCAGACGCAGACTGTCCTCGTGCAGTACCAGGATCTGCCCTGGTGGTGTCGTTGAGCTGTGTGGGTTGGGACTGTCCAAGAGGGCTCCTCTGGCATTCTCCAGGACGCCCAGGTATGAGTCCATGTCTGTGAGCTCCATGTCGCTGTCGGAGCTGCTGCCACTGTCGCTCCCCACTGAGTCGGAGCGCATGTGCAGCATCTGATACTTCTCATGCATTAAAAACTGGTTGGTGTTCTTGGGGGCACGCATCCCCCTTGCTCTGTTTCCTTTGACGTTAACGGGCCGGAGGGACATCACCGGCCTCTGGAGGTGTAGGGGATGATGGTAATGAGGATGATGACGTTGAGGGTGGTGATTTCGCCCTCTTGGCCACCCTCCCCCTCCTGTCCTTCGCCCCTGCATGCGCCCCCTGCAGCTCTTGGACCAGCCGTGCTTCCTGCGGCTGGAAGGGTCCCTCTGCGGAGCCCCCTTTCCATCCTGCTGCTGCTGCTGCTGCTGCTGCTGTAGCTGCTGCTGCTGCTGCTGCTGGCAGCTCCTCCTGCACATCATCTCTGAGAGCATTTTTCTTGTCTTTCTTGCAGTCGCCTCCCTTCCTCCACGCTGCTCTCCTTCACATCCTCCTCCCTGCTCAGTGACCCACACAACAACAAAGAGAGGCTGGCTTCTGTTTTTCTGGCTCAGATCACAAATGACCCCTCTCTCTCTGAGTCTACCTTTTCACTATTCTTTCACTTTTTTTCTTAACCTCTGGCTTTGGCTGATGCATAGCCTGCTCTTCCTCCCCTTGCAGCAGCAGCTTGCCTGCTCGGCTGTCTCCCTGTCACGCCCTCCTCTGTCTCTCTAATCTCTCTTCTTTACCTCTCTGAAAGTCAAATCAGCTTTTAACAGCTCTGATCAGTGAACTAAAGTGAGCTATTGAGGGGTTTTAAGCGTCTTCTAGCTGATTTAAAGCAGTTATTTCTCAGTTATAGGCCAACAACTATAGTGTACACAGCTCAGACCAGCTCTGACTGTGGCTCTGCCCTCCGCTCAGAGCCTGGATAAAGAGCTGGAACGATCCATTCAGGGGTTTAACAGAAGGAGGGGATCGGGGTTCGCAGGTTTGTCGTCTGACTATTAATAACATTGTAATCAGCAGATTACTATAAATTATGACTTCTTCATATGTGTATAACATATTTAAACATATATTTGGGCCTGTAAGTGCCTCAGATTGTGTGTTGTGGTTATGGTTAGCAGAAAGGTGCTCCCTGCAGCAGGATGGTTCACTCCGCTTGGGTTTTAGCAGCTGAAATCTGATCCACAGCTGCTGCTGTTTCTGCCCGCCCCCTCTGACAACAGACAGCAACAACAACCAGCAGCACTGGGGCAGGAGGACTGTAGTAGTTACTGTAATACCACTGACAGTTGTTAGTTATTGTGTCATGCACGTACAAGTACCCAGCCCACATGGACTTACACGACACTAAAAATACTGTTGCAGCAGAATCATTTCATTAGTTTCTTATATAAAACATTGCAAACTAAGAACTTTGTCTTCTGTTTTCAGGTTTACAAATTGAATCTGCTCCCTTAATTAAAACTCAACACAAGCTTTTAGCTACCAACTTCAACCAACGTGGCTCCAGGGATTGTAATGTCGCTCGGTCCACCACTTTGGTCCAGATTGAAATATCTAAACAAATATTTGATGGATTAAGTTGAAAAATGTTGTACAGAGATTAATGTTTCAGAGACAATCCGTCCGACTGACTCTGGTGATCCACTGACTTTTCATCTAGTGCCACCATGAGGTTGATCTTAGTGAAATATCTCGACAACTAATGGATGAGTTGGCATGAAATGAAATCCTCTCAGCTTGAATTGTAATAGCTTTGTGAGCCTTTGACTTTGCATTTAGCGCCATCATCAGATCAAAATTTGTATTTGGTTCTTTGGCTTGTGGCCAAATACCTACAAAACTAATGATGTTCCCATCAGTACAGCCCTTTAATCAATATAAAATGAACTTCATTGTCAACTAAATTACATTATAAAAGCATTAAACTAGCACTGCTTCCTGTAGCTACTATCTGCACATAGTTATATCAGCTCAACACAACACAGACCATAATACATCACAGTATATATAATATGACATAATGTGCCTGTGTGCAGCTACACTAGTGACCCCATGTGGCTGAGCTGTGTATTACACAGAGCAGTTTGAAGCAAAGGGAGAGAGGGAGAGAGGGAGAGAGGGGGGGGCAATGTTTACTGTAATCCATCCAGCAAAATTGTTGGATGGATTACAAGAGACTGTCTATACTTAGATCTTTAACACTAATGTGCTGTGGTAAGGATGTTGAGTTTGCACCGAGCAGTAAACACATCCAGGACATTGTGAGTTCAGAGAGCTGAATGCATTATAATAGAGTCCTGATATAACCTGCAAAATAAACATAAAACTGTGAAAGATGATCACATTAGCCAACAATAAACTACTGTTAACAGGTGACACATACAGTAATAACAAATCCTCTTTTATGTTCTTTATTGGTCAAACATTCAGGAACATAACGTACAGTAAACATGACAAAAGTTAAGGTTAAACAAATTATAAAATATAAAACTGTAACATAAAGACGGTAGGTAGGGATATATATATAATAATAATACATATTTATGTAGGAAGTATTTGCCCTTAAAGACAATAAGATTGAATATACATTCTATTTTTCTTATCTTTATTCTTTGTGTTGCTGCTTTTGTTGCCTTTATCATACACCCTTCCTTTTATTCTGAATTGTGTACATAGTGCAGCACTTATAATGTCCTGCAGTGGGTTTTTACTGTGTGTATGTTGTTTGCTGTAAAAAATAATATATTTTTTATGTTGTGCAACAATAAATATGTGAACTGAACTGAAAGTTATACATACTATATATGCACAAACAGATGAAATCACAAACACCTTTCACAAAATAAGTTTCTATATTATTACAAAACTAAATATTTGCCAAATTAAAAACTACTGGAGTAATATTTATCAATAATTTAATATGACACTACTGCCTTGATATCTAAAATATGCTTTTCCTCAAATCTTCATTACAAAATATGTATAATTGGGTATATATATATTACATAAAGACAATAATATGTAAATACTGTACCTATGTCTACCACTGTTACTGAGTGTTAATAAACATATAATAAATAATTGTTATAAATACTTAAAAGATGAGACATATTTCTATTATCAGACAACGCTCGTTGTATAACGGTCGTTTCTGTCATTTTACTTTCTATTTCAGTTTTATTTTGACCTTTTATTGTACGAGTAGTCTATTTACCAGGATGTGACTGCTCATACAAAGTTGTCTCGGTTTTAAATCAGTCAGCTACGGAAGCGTATTGCATTCATTTGAAAATGTATTTTAATGGTTTGTTTTTCGGAGTCATTTTTTCAGATTTTCTGAATAATAATTTTTTTTTTTTCTGTTTTTCGGACTAATTTTGAAAAACAGAAAAATAAAAAATATTCAGAAAAACAGAAAATTCAAGTGAATGCAATACACTTCCGTACGAATAATAATTCGATAATTCAGAAAAAAAATATCAAGAAAAACAGGAAAAAAATATTAAAAATAATTACTCAGAAAAAAAGGGAAAAAGATTGTCAGAAAAACAGCAAAAAATATTCCAAAAAACAAACCAAAAAATAAATCCCTCAGTAAACCGGAGTCTTTTATTTTGTAAGTGAACCAATCCGCTTCCGTAGTCAGCTGCTCGGCACCACAACAAACATGGCGACAGGAGGCGGCTGACGGACCCAGAAGAACCCAGAAGAACCGCTGCAGAACCCGATACAACCGTTTCAGCTAAGATCTGTTTCAATAACCTCATAACAGGAACTCTCCCCTCGACCCTGCGCTCACGATGGAGTCCGGCCCGTTCCCGGAGGAGCTGCTGTCGGACCGGAAAGTGTTCGTTGTCGGTTCCGAGCTGGTGGAGAACTACACGGTGAGCTAACGTTAGCCTGTTAGCTCCGGGTCGAAGACCCGACGGGACCGACGAGCTGACCGCTAACTGAGCTGTTCCTCTACCGGTTACAGACCGGTTACAGACCGGTTACAGACCTGTTACAGACCTGTTACAGACCGGTTACAGACCGGTTACAGACCGGTTACAGACCCGTTACAGACCGGTTACAGACCGGCTACAGACCGGTTACAGACCGGCTACAGACCGCGTTACAGCACCGGTTACAGACCTGTTACAGACCGGCTACTGACCCGTTACAGACCGGTTACAGACCGGCTACAGACCGGTACAGACCGGCTACAGACCGGCTACAGACCGGCTACAGACCGGTTACAGACCGGTTACAGACCCGTTACAGACCGGTTACAGACCGGTTACAGACCGGCTACAGACCGGCTACAGACCGGTACAGACCGGTTACAGACCCGTTACAGACCGTTACAGACCGGCTACAGAACCCGTTACAGGACCCGGTTACAGAACCGGTTACAAGACCGGTTACAGACCGTTACAGACCGGTTACAGACCGGCTACAGACCGGGCTTACAGACGGCTACAGACCGTTACGAGACCGGTTACAGACCGGTTTACAGACCGGCTACAGACCCGTTACAGACCGGCTACAGACCGGCTACAGACGGTTACAGACCCGTTACAGACCGGTTACAGACCGGCTACAGACCTGTTACAGACCGGTTACAGACCGGCTACAGACCTGTTACAGACGGTTACAGACGGCTACAGACCGGTTACAGACGGCTACAGACCCGTTACAGACCGGCTACAGACGGTTACAGACGGCTACAGACCTGTTACAGACCCGGTTACAGACCGGTTACAGACCCGTTACAGACCGGTTACAGACCGGTTACAGACCGCTACAGACCTGTTACAGACCGTTTACAGACCGGCTACAGACCGGTTTACAGACCGCTACAGCCCGTTACAGACCGGCTAACAGACCGGTTACAGACCGGCTACAGGCCTGTTACAGACCCGGTTACAGACCGGTTACAGCCGGCTTACAGACCCGGTTACAGACCGGCTACAGACCGGCTACAGACCCGTTACAGACCGGTTACAGACGGCTACTGACCGTTACAGACCGGTTACAGACGGTACAGACCGGTTACAGACCGGCTACAGACCGGCTACAGACCGGCTTACAGACCGGTCTACAACCGGTTTACAGACCCGTTACAGACCGGTTACAGACCGGTTACAGACCGGCTAACAGACCGGCTACAGACCGGCTACAGACCGGTTACAGACCGTTACAGACCCGTTACAGACGGTAAGACCGGCTACAGACCCGTTACAGACCGGTTACAGACGGTTACAGACCCGTTACCAGGACCGGTTACGACGGCTACAGACCGGTACAGACCGTTAAGACCGGCTACAGACCGGCTACAGACCGTTACAGACCGGTTACAGACCGGCTACAGACCGTTACAGACCGGTTACAGACCCGTTACAGACCGGTTACAGACCGTTACAGACGTTACTGACCCGTACGAGCCGGTTACAGACGGTTACAGACGGTTTATGACCCGTTACAGACCTTACAGACCCCTACAGACCCTTTACAGACCGGTTACACGACCCGTTACAGACCCGCTTACAGACCCGTTACAGACCTTTTTACAGACCGGTTACAGACCGGTTACAGACCCGTTACAGACCCGTTACAGACCGTTACAGACCGGTTACTGACCCGTTACAGACCCGTTACAGACCCGCTACAGACCCGTTACAGACCGGCTACAGACCCGTTACAGACCGGTTACAGGACCGGTTACAGACGGTTACAGACCGGTTACAGACCGGCTTACAAACCGGTTACATGACCGGTTACAGACCGTACAGAACCGGTTACAGACCGGTTACGGACCGTTACAGACCGGTTACAGACCGGTTACAGACCCGTTTACAGACCGTACAGACCGGCTACAGACGATACCGTTAAGACACGAGACCGGTTACAGGACCGCTTACAGACCGGGTTACAGACCCGTTACAGACCCGTTAGCAGACCCGTTACAGACCGGTTACAGACCGGTTACAGGACCGGTTACTGACCGTTACAGACCCGTTACAGACCCGGTTACAGACCCGTTACAGACCGGTTACAGACCCGTTACAGACCGGTTACAGACCCTGTTACAGACCGGTTACAGACCCGTTACAGACCGTTACAGACCGGTTACAGACCGTTACAGACCGGGTTACAGACCGGTTACAGACCCGTTACAGACCCGTTACAGACCTTACAGACCCGTTAAGACCGCTACAGACGCGTACAGACCGGTTACAGACCGCTACAGACCGGCTACGACCTACGACCGTTACAGACCGGTTACAACCGGTTACAGACCGTTACAGACCGTACGTTACAAACCGGTTACAGAGCCTTTACAGACCGTTAGACACCTGACCCGTTTACAGACGGTTAGCAACGGACAGACCCGTTACAGACCGGTACAGACCGGCTACAGACCCGTTACAGACGGTTACAGACCCGCTTACAGCCGGCTACAGAACCGCTACGATTACACCGGTTACAGACCCGTTACAGACCGGCTACAGACCCGGTTACAGACCCGTTACAGGAACCGGCTACAGACCGGTTACAGACCCGTTCAGACCGGTTACAGACCCGTTAACAGACCGGCTACAGACCGCTACAAGACCCGTTTACAGACCTTACAGACCCGGTACAGACCCGTTACTGACCCGCTACTGACCTCGTTACACGACCGGTTAAGGACCGGTTACAGACCGGTTACAGACGGCTACCAGACCCGTTACAGACCCGTGTTACAGACCCGTTACAGACCGGTACAGACCGGTTACTGACCCGTTACAGACGGTACAGACCGGCTAAGACCCGTACAGACCGGTTACAGACCCTGTTACAGACCGCTTACAGACGGCTACAGACCCGTTACAGACCCGTTACAGACCGGCTACAGACCGGTTACTGCACCCGTTACTGACCGGTTCAGACC